ATGCTCATTACTGCCTGGTTGCCGGCTATTTTTTATAGTTGATGTTGTTCTTACTGCCACTTTTATTATTAATTATTAATAGGTTACCCTCTCCTACTCTGCATGATTTATCTCCGTATAAAATTTATTTCATGCCAAACCGGATTTTTCTATCATATGTGTTTTAGGGTGTGCGTGTTATTCTAATTTTAAAGCTTTGTTTGCAAATAAGCTTTTGTTGCGTTCAATTCAGTGTGTATTTTTAGGCTATGCGTCTGAATATAAGGGCTACCATTGTTTTGATCCTATTTCTGGTTGAGTGTATATTAGTAAGAATGTCGATAAGATTTTTAGAAAATATTTTTCCTTGTCATGATTTAATCATTACCACAGTGTCTATATCTGGTGTGCCTACTATATCTTCTCCCCTTATTTCTGCACCCACCCGTGATCTGCTACCCACGCATGCTGCCACACCGTCCCCCCCACTCCCCTCCGTCCATCCTACAATTTTCCCCAGTAGCCGACCAGCCCTCTTGCCCGTAGATTGAAACCTGCCTATAACCTGCTCTCTTCGTACGCCACACCCACTAGTTGTGTTGCCAGTAATTTTTTGCCTTCTGCAGCCAACAGTCCGACGACCACATCCCTATCCCACACCCCTGCTGATAGTGGGTCGGCCACAATTCCAGTCATGCCGCCTCCAAGATGCTCTGCCCCGGTTGCTAATGTACATCCGATGTGAACTTAGTCCAAATCCGGGATTTTTAAGCCCAAAACTATTTTTAATTTAGCACACCTGATCCCACTTGTTTTCATATTGCAAATAAACATTTTAGGTGGAGAGACGCAATGGCTGAGGAATTTAATGTCCTTATCTCTAATCATACTTGGGACTTAGTATCGTTTGATGTTAGGAAGGATGTAGTTGGATCTAAATGGATTTATAAGACTAAATATTTGTTTGATGGGTCTGTGGAACGTTATAAAGTGCGTTTAATTGCTCAGGGGTTTAATCAGCAAACAGTTATTAATTTCAATAAAACCTTTAGTCATGTTGTCAGACCTATCACTGTTCGTCTTGTTTTCACCTTAGCTATCTCGTTTGGTTGTCCAATCGCAACTTGATGTTAAAAATGTATTTCTTCACGTCAACCTTACTGAGGAAGTTTATATGCGTCAGCCTCCTGAATGTGCTAGAAATGTATTACTCCGTAAGTTTTATGTTTAATTATGTACTAATATGAAATAGTATCTAAATTCGAACATGTAGAGTGATTTTATTATTTGGTTACTAAACAAATTATATGAAAAAAACATGTGCATATGGAAAAACTTGTGTACATATATTACAAAAGATTTATAAATGTATCCTTATATTTTATAATATTTATGCATTTCTCCCACGTTACGTATCCTATATTTTTTAGAAATTACATTTCTCGCGTTTCCCGTTTCTCGTTTTGCGTTTCCGTTCTACTTAGGTCATCACTACCACACATAATGATGGTTAATTGGTCATCACTGCCACTATAAATTTTAACTTAGGCTAGAGTGGCATGGGCTGATATTTGCCTCCCTAAAGAGGAAGGTGGACTTGGTATTCATGATACATATGTTTGGAACTCTGCCCTCCTTGCTAAAACTCTCTGGGATATCCATACTAAAAAGGATAATCTCTGGGTTAGGTGGATTCATGGTGTCTACCTTAACGGTAGAGGTGTTTGGGAGTTTACACCTCATAAAAGAGACTCCCAATTGATCAAAAAGACTGCCCTGATTAGAGATCAAATTGTCTCTCACTTTGACAATACCCACGATGCCATTAGCTTTCTCAATACTTGCCAAACAAATGGCAAGCTATCCTCAGGTTTGGTATACAACCTTCATAGAGTTAAGGGGGGAACCCAAATGTGGATGCCTTTCATTTGGAAGAATTATATTCCCCCCAAATTCTCCTTCACGGTTTGGCTTGCCTTTCGTAACCGCCTTGCCACTCTTGATAACTTGCATAGATTATATGTTGTTAATGTTTGCCCCCTTTGTAAGGGTGGTCCGGAAACGGTACCACACCTGTTTTTTACTTGTGCTTTTTCAGGTAAAGTTTGGCATAGAGTCAGGACGTAGCTGGACATTCCTAGGGAGATGGGGACCATGCTAAGCTCGTTGAAATGGATCAAGAGGAAGAGACAAGGCTCGGGGATCAAAGCTAAGGCGGCTAGGATTGCTTTTTGCTACTCCATCTACTGGATCTGGAGGACCCGGAATGCTACATGCTTTGACGGCCTTGTTCCCAAAGAAGAAGATGTTTTTGCGAGGATTCAATACATTGTTTACAAGATTTTGTATAGTCTTTATCCACATGAACTTGTAAAGCTGTGACGTGTTCTCCCTAACCTTCTCTTTGTTTTGGTTGGGCGTTTCTTGTGGCTGTTTTTTTGGGCTTGTTTGTGCTCCACCACCGCTACGTTTTGGTGTGGGGCGTTGCTTGTTTTGAGTTCTTTTGCTGGGTTTTGGTTATCCATGTTGTATAACCTGCAGTTTTGTTTTTCCTTTTTTTGCTTGTACATTCTGAACCTCCATTTTCTTGGATGGCTCCTTAATATACTTACAGTTCATCCAAAAAAAATAACTTAGGCGTAGAAGTTTTATGTGTACAATTATCCGGTTCAGTTTTTTAATTCGAATCTCTACCATATACATGATTTTTATATAAAAATTGCCCTAAATAAAAGTACAACTGCTAAAACTTGATCTGATTGTATCTGATTGTACCTGATTTGATCTGTTTAAGTCTCGTATGTTTTAGGTCAGAAATCAATCTAATTAAATTAAAATCATACGAGTATTAAACCTTAAAGAGCATCTACTTAATGAGAAAATTAGATGCTACGTATATAAGGGGTGTTTGGAACTGATTCTGCTTCTGCTTCTTTTTTAAATCAGAAGCAGAATCACAATCAAGTTTCAGAAGCTGGTCTCCCCCATCTTCTAAGAAAACTGATTCTAGAAATAAATTAGAACACCAGAATCACTTCTCCACTTTCACCCAAACACTCCAACTTCTGCTTCTGCTCCCTAAAGGAGCAGAAGTTGCTTCTGCTCCCTAAAGGAGCAGTTTAAATGGGATCCAAATATCCCATTTAAGAATCAGATCCAAATATCCAATGGGATGGACGGTCTATAGTCTATACAGAATGTGGATTATACTGTACGCAAAACACAACATAGACTATAAGACGTAGAAGTAGAAGTAGAAGTATGCGAAGATCTAAAATGTAGGCTAATTGAATGTTTACAACCATCTGCTATAGACCTTCAACTACTTCGTCCCAACTGCAATAATTTATGAATCAGCACAAAAAGACATAATAATATATGTGCCTACTATATCAACCACCTCTTTCTCTTTTCTTCAACCTCCCGTTGAAATGATGGTCAAAAACGTAAAACCAAAAATAGTTTAACTTGTAGGCTCCTTCAATTTTAATCAGGGAAAATTCTACTCTAAAATAGCTTACTTTAACCACTGAGCAGTTGGGAAATTACAGATAATTAGATAATTTAAATATTAAAAATGATGAAATAGTGAAATGTGTAAATCATAAGTACTGTAGATCGATATAATCGGCCTTTTTCTTATAACAAGAACATCGTAAATTGTTGAATATATACAATTCTAATTAATAAATATTGAATTTATACAAGACTTAATACACATTTAAATCAACATCACAGCCTTTTATGTCACGTTTTATCTATCTAATTATAAGATCGAGTAAGGTAAATACTACTGATAAGTGTACCATCTTCTTTTATCACTGATTAAGTTGCTCAATTTCTCGTGCATGATTTAATTACCTTTTTCCGAACTAAAAAAGAAGTCCTTTTATCTAGCGAGTTATATGAATGCCAGATTTTGTATTATTACGGAGTAATAGTTAGCGGATTTGATTAAATTTCAGCTAGAACATGGTTTCCCCCATCAAATCAACTTATAATTATGTCTATGGTTGGATTCATAAAGATGCATAAAGCCACACACTTCCCATGGTATAGAATTATAAGAGGCTGAGCTTCACATTCTATTAGGGGATGAGAGATGGGAGGATCTACGTTAGGATTATGGTGGGCTGAGTCCTAAACCAACAAAACAAATTCAATTATTTTAATGTAAAATTTTCAATTTTCATATTTAGTTCATCTTTCTAATTATGCCTAGTATAATTATTCTTCACCCTAATCTAACCCCATATTCTTGCATTTGGATTGTACACTAGATTTTTTAAAAAATCCCTCAGCTCCCGTCCCAAGCTGAGTTTATTTTTACAGTTGTGTCCTAACAACAAATAATACATGTCACATTATGTGCCAACTTTTGGTTCAATTCAGAACAGTTCTGCAAAATATTATTAACACATAAATAATGTCTAACTCATCACACGACGCAAACTATTTTAAAATTAGGGTATATTCTGCCCTTAGTGAGTTAGGTTGTATATGAGTGTGGACTGTGGACTCAAAATTCCTTTAATAAATTAAACAATTGCAACCCAATCTAATTAACATTTAAAAGTAATTAAAAATTTATGAATAGAATAAAAGTTGTTTAAAAATGTGATCACCTATTTGTAATGAATATAGTAATTTTAGATATAATAACTTATGTTCATTTCTTATACTGAAGTGACTCTTATAGTAACTTTGGTCATATTTTTATAAATAGAGAGTTTTATTATTGTTGAGTAAAATACATTTAATATTTACTCCGTATTTGTCAATAAGTAAAAGACTCGAAATAAAGTATATGTACGTACATTATAAAAGTCATACCATTGCAACTAGTATGAATAGAAGTAATATATTCATGAAAAGACCATAGTTATATCATCACTCAAGTAGACTAAAAGAAAACCACAACATAAAACTTTCATTTTCCACAACCGTTAGTAAACCACAACCATAATTGCATTACTTCATAGGTATGATTCTCATTTCTTTTTAAACCCCCCACCCCCACCCCTCCTCACTCCAACCATATATACACGAAGTATAACATAACAACTCACACAAAACATACACCTACAACTAAGAATCAAACATGGGTGCATATAATAATGATCACCATCCTCAACATCATCCCCATTTTGAACCAATATCAAAATGCAAGGTTGATGAGAGTAGATCAGATCAAACTGTGGCTGCTGATCTAGATGGCACCCTCTTGCTCTCCACAAGCGCTTTTCCTTACTTCTTCTTGGTCGCCCTCGAAGCCGGTAGCCTTCTAAGAGCTCTCCTCCTCTTAGCCTCAGTTCCATTTGTATACTTGTTTTACATATTCATTTCTGAGCCTCTAGCCATTGAAACCTTCATCTTCATCGCCTTCGCGGGGCTCAAGGTCAAGGACATCGAGGCCGTGTCGAGGGCCGTGTTGCCCAAGTTCTACTCCGAGGATGTCAATCCTCAGACGTGGAAGGTCTTCAATTCTTGCAAGAAAAGGTATATCGTCACCGCTAACCCTAGGATCATGGTGGAGCCTTTCGCCAAGAACTTTCTCGGCGCGGACAAGGTTCTCGGGACGGAGTTGGACGTGACGAAATCGGGTCGGGCCACCGGGTTTGTGAAGAGCCCCGGCGGCGTTCTTGTCGGGGATCGGAAGAGAGCCGCCTTAGTGAAGGAGTTGGGGAATAATAATGTGCCGGATTTGGGTCTCGGAGATAGACTCACGGACTGCGACTTCATGTCACTTTGTAAGGTAATACTGGCCGGTTTAATTAAACGTCGTCTTTGCGTTGACCTACATCCCCACTTGTTATCAAACCTTATTAAAGAAGGAAAAGACAAAAAATGTCAATATAGCGGCGGTTTCATATAGAGAGTTGACCAGATTATGATATTAGAACTAAGTCGTGATAGTAGGAGTAATATGTAATCTTAATTTATTGCGTTATATCAATTTGGTGTGCAATAATGCAAACTTTAAGACTCAAGATAATATGAGAAAACATATGGAGCAAGTCAATTTAATCACTTATTAGATAGATGATAAATGGTCAAAATAATTCATTCATGTTAAATATTTAGAGATTCGTCACCATTTATCTTGTAACGTGCTCCTTAGTGAGTTCACTGCCATGCTCCCTATGCGGAGTATTATAGTAGTGGCAAAAGTATGTGGTGAAATAAGATGAAAAGCCTAAATTTGTGAGGTAAATAATGAATTATCCAGGATTATTTTTGAAAGAATGAAACAATTTCACAAACATGACGACGCATCGAAAACCAAATATTAAATACTATCGTATGTGCTAATGTGCAGTCTTTTCTCCATTAAAAAAATTCACAAAAGTAACTAAAAAACCAGCCTCATTCATAAAAACAAAAACCCATAAATAAATACCTATAATCTCATCTTCCTCATAAAAAACCTATTAAATGCATCTATCTGTCTGTCTAGTTTAATTAGGGTCATGTAGTACTCGTGCCATTAAAAATTGCATGAATCGAAGTACATCAAGACACACAATATTCATGTGCACTGCTAACTGTTTCACCGATCCACGTACACAACAGAATTTATAGAGTGGACTCCGCTACACCAATCACGTCATTTATAATATACGGAGTTTTGGAGTTTATGAATTCGACTAATAGAAATTAATTTTGTATTTATATACTCGTATGTGATTAGCTAGAATGTAGGTATGAATTTATGCTTAAAATTGTCATTTGTACAGTACAGTACTAAAAATTAAGAACCATAACTAATAGTACGCGTCTGTTAAAACAAAAACATAACCTCAATCTTCTAAAGGCTTCCACGATTCCACCTAGGTGGGATCAAGGAGTTGGATGGATGCAATCTCATCCTTGTACTAAAACACCGGAAGACCCATGAAAATTGCGTCAAAAATCGTATATATTGACGGAAGATTCATATCAAAGAAGCGATAAAGTTTAGTGAATCGTTTTTCTTCATTCCATCATATTCCCAAGTAAAAAATAGTGAATCTTTGATTTCCTTGGAAATGATGGATTTTCAAAATGAAACAATTATTTAGACAATAATTAAAATAAGATAATTCGAGTATATTTCAAGAAATAATTTTGCGTGGTATATTATTAATAAAACTAAAATACTATAGAATTATAGATGTAAAATTTCTAACATTTGATGATTGAATAATGATTCAAGAGTTCTAATTATTTGCTAAAATAAAAATGACCATCTATAGATGAGACCTCAAAAAAGTGAAAACCGTAAAAGGGTGTCAATTTATAAGATACACTATTTTTATTTCTTCAAAACTTATTTCAATGAGATTGTTTTTCATTTTCCGGATATCTTTGCCAATTTTTTCGTAGAGAAGTAATTGTACGGAGTAGTAAATCGTCCATAGTCGAATAACAATGATTGGTGGACAAATACAAAATTGTCGGTGTGCTATGACACAATTTTACTTGAGAAGAATCAGAAAAAGCATGTACTACATTCTGTAGGCCAATGGTGCAGTGGCTTGTTTGGCACAATCAAATATTCCCTCCCTCCGTACTAATACACTCTATATAATTTACAAATAAACTCACATATTTAATTAATTTAGAAAATGTTTAAATTGATATAGATGCACTGGCGTATCCAGAAAATTTGGCGAGTGGGGGCAAACTTGACTACAATTTAGTCTCATATTTCACAAATAACAAATCACATTATTAATATTGTTTGATTAAATTTAGTTTATAATATCTATGTACAAGTATGAATAAAAAGAAGATTAATTTATATTACGGGTGTGTAAAGATGTAATTGAAGATAAAATGTAAAAAATTTACCTAAATATAAGTTAAACAGTCTTAAACATAACAAAATTTAGTGAATTTTTTAGCCTTTCATTCTTTTAATATTAAAGAAAACACTTCTAATCCTATTTTAGAATTTTTTTTCTAAATTTAACTCTTAATTTGAGCAATTTCTTGTAAAAATTTGGATATATATAGAGGTTGGGTTGGGATTGAGTGGGGGCAGCTGCCCCCGCTGCCCCCATAGTGGATACGCCACTGTATAGATGTACTCTCTAATTCATTCTTATAAGTGCATTTGTTTTGTTTCTTCTCTCTTTTTTGTTTAATTATGTATGTTTTTGTTTGTATAACTATTAATACTTGTTTGATATATATTTTTTGTTTTTATTTTCAAATTACTATTTTTTCTAATCAACAAAAATATTTTGGTAAAAACCAAAAAAACCGAAATCGAATCGAAAAAAACCGAACCGAACAAACCGTGGTTCCAAATTTTTGAACATAAAATCGAATCGAACCGAACTGAACTTTTTACTTTGGTTCTACATTTGGTTTTAAGTGAAAACCGAACCTATCTCTACTTCCAAGTCCCAAACCACACTCTCACAAAAGTAAAATACAACCTGATTCAATAATAATAAAATTATTTAAATACTTTCTTTCTAGTGAAAAGATTCGTAATTGATCAATGATGATAAATTTTGAACAAGGACTCCAATTATTATACTTGTATACTCCGTATGATTTATAAATTTTATACCTTTTTAAAAATAATATTTTGAATAACGAACATGTTAATTTATTTTTCATATTCAAAATAATTTCATATTAGAAAATATCATTGGTTAAAATTGATTGTCATTGACTAAGAAAAATCAATTTGACAAACAATTTTAGAACGCATGGAGCAATAGTTAAATCATGTAATTCGAGTATGTATTTAAAAGTAATTTTGTTAGGTATGATGTTATAACAATGATGATCTAATTATAAATGTATAGTTTTCAATGCTCTTTAATTAATTAATTTATCATTTACTAATGCTAATTATTTCATGACATAAAAATGAGCATAAATTGAGACAGATAATGGGATAATATAAACCCGAGCTTAGGTAAAAATTTCACATACAAGATTACACTAGACATATAAGGGAGGCCAAGAGTAAAACGTGGATGAATACAAGTATTTTCTAATTTATATTAAAATTCATTTAACAGATACAAATTAAATTAATCAATCATTATATTTGATATTGTGATTATTGTCATATTTTTAGAGAAAAAAATGATGGTTGCACACACAAAGTCTTATTTATGCTGTTCGAAGAGGCTAGTACAGTAAGCACCCACTTGGTTACTTTTCATACTACTACAGATCAATAAAATTACTGCCTTGCTCTAATAAAGAATATCTCTTCCAAACTACTCCGTAATAACATAGGCGTATTCTATTTCAAGACACAGGGAGTTTTCTAAAATTGATCAATAGTTGTGGCATTTTTATTGTTCATGCCGTTAAAACATTTAACCCATTCTTTTTGTAGGAGATCGAGTTCGTTTTTTGTTTTTAACTTTTTATGTGAAACAGGGCATACGTTCTACCTATTTTTGGCATAAGTTAAAGATACTTCTACCTAATTTTACTCTTCCGATATTTTTTAATTGGACTTACATGTCCTGGAATGGTTTGATCAGAATAAGTCTGATCTAAATTGGTCCAGTATGTTAAGTTTTTGGTCTTGGTGTATTTTATAACTATGCAAGTATAATTTAGTCTCAGCCGAAAAAAGTTCTAATAAAAACTTCTTATTCTCCATAACTCCTCCATTTAAAACATCTCTAATGCGTCATTGTGCAGGATGCACATGTAGTACCAAAGCAAAAGTGTACTGCATCAGTTTTAGCAAAGTTAAAATTAGAAAAAAATGTAATCATGATTCTTTGAAAATGCAAGTGAAAATTAATAATTGACATCATTTTTAGAGCACTGAATATAGGTGAATACTTCAATAGCATTTTTGAAATTTAAAAGTCAAATTTGGAAATAAATAGGGCCCGGGAGGTAGGGGCTCACTCACTACTCACTGATAAGATGGCACTATGGCACTATGTAATGGCTCCCGATAATTATTCAAAATCTCACAATCAATCATATTCAAGTTATAAAAAAGGACACAGTTTTAGTGACTTGTCTTCAATTCGCCTCATTAAGCCAAAACATAACTATGTTATCCATCTTTTAAACAAAAATGATGTCATTAGTTATTTTTAGTTTAAATGTATCCATCATTTAATTAAACCAAGAGTTTATAAGAGGGTTCGATCTTTGACCGTTGAAATTGATGAATTTCTGACTTAAACAGCTGCATTCACTAAATCTATTGAATTATGGTACGTAAAAATGTATTCCATATTCAAAACACTTCCTATTAATAACATAAAGAAAAATTATATGAAAAATTAACTAAAATTATTCTCTATAGTAACTTTAACCAGTTGAACAAGAAAAATAACTACCCGAGTATAACTGAACTTATTTTGATTATTATTATACAATTCAAAGCATGAAAAAATAGAAAATAGAAGCTGAAAACACAAATTGCTAAATATTTCTTAATATTTGAATTTGATCAAGTCTGGTCCTTATCACGCCTAAGCTAGCTGTAAAATCCGAATGGTTTATTTAATGGGATTAAATTATCAATGAAAGGAGCAAAGTACAAAATTTGGCAGCCAATGCATGTGCATCTTCTTCAGTCTGTTCCAACCACCGTCTCATAATTAAACACCGACGTTTCTCTGCGTGCATGGCTGTACATGAAATTGGGTCAACTCCGCCATAACATTTCAAATGCTGTAAAAGAGTAAATTGTGTAAAAGTTTTACAAAAAGAATCAGAAATCAGCTTAAATATGACCAAAACATAAGTAATTTTTTCAAATAACTTATCATTAATTTTATAATCAAAATAAGACTCATTTAGTCATTTACTGCTTCTATTCTCCGTTAGTTTTAACTTCTTAATACTTAGTACTACGTAGTTTTCTTCGACTGTTAACATAATCTAGTTTAATTTGACCGGGTTTTCAATATTAATATATTATGTCTTTCATTGATATGAAAAATATCAACAAATTTATCCCAATCTATTGTCTGAAACAGGATAGAAGGTAGTGAAACTGAAATGCTAGTTAATGAAGTAAACCGGTTTGATTGCATAGCTGAAATAACGATTTAAAAAATGTAAAGTTACCATAGAAGTAAATGTTTTAATACGTAGTATATGAGAAAAAATGAACACCACTAAGTAAAGTTTGCTTCGGGCGTTGGAGTTTGTCCTTCATGTAGGTTTATAGTCCAAAAGAGGCAGAGTTCAAAGAGATGCGATCAACTTGATTTGAATAGTGAAAGGGTAATATCGATTTAAATTTGCGATAAACTTAAAGGTAGATTTGAATAGTGAAAGGGTAATATCGACTTAAATTTGCGATAAACTCAAAGGTTGAACTGAAACGTTATAATTTGTAACGTTTCAAATTAGATGATCAACCCTACATTAGATCTAAACACCTTTCAAAGAAAACATTAGATCTAATCAAATTCAATTCACCTTTTAATCAAAATGTGGCATGCCAATTTATTGTGTAGTTCTATCAAATTTGAGCTCAAATCCAAACATAAGTTACATAACCATGTGCGTCCCTTATGCTGCAGGAAGGATACATGGTCCCAAAAACGAAATGCGAACCCTTGCCGAGAAATCAGCTCCTCAGTCCCGTCATCTTCCACGACGGCCGTTTGGTGCAACGACCGACGCCGTTAGTCGCGCTCTTGACTTTCTTGTGGATGCCAATCGGAATATTCCTTTCCATTATCCGGGTCTACGTCAACATTCCGTTACCGGAAAGAATCGTCCGTTACAATTACATGATCCTCGGAATCAAACTCGTCGTCAAAGGCACGCCGCCGCCTCCGCCCAAGGAAGGTCAACCCGGCGTCCTTCTCGTATGCAACCATCGCACCATCTTAGATCCCGTCGTGACAGCGGTTGCGCTCGGGCGGAAGATCAGCTGCGTGACGTATAGCATAAGCAAGTTTTCAGAGCTGATCTCTCCCATAAAGGCGGTGGCTCTGTCTCGGGAAAGGGACAGAGACGCTGCCCATATCAAGAATTTATTAAAGGAGGGTGATTTGGTCATTTGCCCCGAAGGGACGACGTGCCGCGAACCGTTCTTGCTCCGGTTCAGCGCGCTTTTCGCGGAGCTTACCGACCGGATCGTGCCCGTGGCGGTGAACACTAAGCAGAGCGTGTTTTACGGGACGACGGTTCGAGGGCATAAGTTGTTGGACCCGTACTTTGTGTTCATGAATCCTCGGCCGACGTACGAGATCACGTTCTTGGACCAACTCCCGCCGGAGCTCACTTGCCGGAACGGAAAGTCGCCGATCGACGTCGCAAATTATATCCAGAAAGTGTTGGGTGGGACCCTGGGGTTCGAGTGTACGAGCCTGACTAGGAAGGACAAGTACACGATCATTGCCGGAACAGATGGACGGGTGGTTCGTACCAAGGACAAGGATGGAAAGAACAATGAAAATAAATTTGACAAAATTAAAAAGGACGACAAATAAATGAAGGGAATTATTTAACTTTTATTTCTGGAATCCTTTCAAAAGAAAAAAAATAACTTTTGTTTATGGAATATAGTAGTAATTGTAGTTACGTTGTACGTCAGTACGTGTAATTGATACGTATCTGTGATTTTCTTTTCATCCATTTTTAATATCACTCGTAATTTTCAGCGTAAAATGATACACTAATTAATCAGAAAAGCTATTGTTGATCACAGATCCTGAATGTTCAAGAATCATGATATGATACTGAAAATATATTTATAATAAAATTAAATGTGATTCTTCATTCATGCATTGATCTCCCTTTTACTCCTCCCATCCTTTTTATTTAATCAAACTTTATAAATCTATGTATAAGTATTGATAATATGAAAGTGATATGAAAATGTTGTTTGTCAAAAATATTATCATAAAAGTATAAAACTAATAAATTTTACATAAATATGCTCGTATTAGTTAAAATAATGGGGCAATTTAAGTTTGCACCCCATTTTATTGTTCAAATTGGACTTTGCACTCCTTTTTTGAAAATTATTCGTTTTCACCCCAATCCCGTATGGAAAGACAACATTGCTCCTCCATTAACAATTTTACTGGCCTTCAACATATTCCTGATCGAGGGGCATTTTAGTCTTTTCATACAGGTTGGGTGCAAAATTAAAACCAAAAAAAACTTAAAAATGGTGTGCACAGTCAAATTTGGACAATAAATTGGAGTGCAAGCTCAAATTATCCCTAAAATAATTGACTAAACTTTACAATTTTTGACAGAAAAAATTAATGATGGATAAATAAAAAATGGGATAGCTTGTTTTTAATTGATTTATCCGATTTGTCCGATTTGGTCCGTTTGTGAACCTGTAAGCTACGGCTATTCATGTTCTCTGGTACTTGTCAACACACTCATCCATCAAAGCCCAGTAGCCAAGTGAGGCCCGGTCACTTAGTGGGTCTCAATTACCCGATTTCGACTAAATGATTAAACATAAGTGCTCTACAACTCAATTTTCCAAACTAAAAAACAATAATGGGTCATATTGATGGCTATCAACCGATTATTCATGCTTTGGTGTTCTTTTAAAAGGCACTTTCTCATGAAGCCGGCATTCATGATTCATGTATGCAAAGAAGGAATGCGAAAGAAGGCTTTCGAGAGCACAGTGTAAATGTGGACTAAATCAAAGTCACTCTTGGAAGTTGGAAGAATTATTTTTTTGCGAGCAATTAATGTTATGCGCAAAAAATATAGTTAATAAAACGCATTAAGTTGCAATTAATTTCCTAAAATTCCGATAACTGGCTTTTCACCATAAATGTGGTGTTGATTCATAAAAAGCCACAAATTAATAAGTCGCCTTATTAGCTCGATCGGGATGGTGATGCATAACCTCCCACCTGCAGCCATAGGAGGTCTTGCAATTCGTCATATCTTTTCTTTTGGACTGAAATTTACTCGTCCGGTCTGATCTAGTCTGGTCTGATCAAGTCTTGTCTAGTTTGATCTGGTCTGAACTGGTTTGATTTGGTCTGGTATATGTTTGATCTCCGTGTATTTTATAATTAAGAAAGTCTGGTCTAGTCTGATCTGGTGTGGTCTATTATGGGAGTGAAAACAATCCAAAAGGAAACGTAGTCAACATCAAACCACAATTGGCATTATTGATAAAAAAAAACTAGCTAAAAGAATAAAACACATAAACAATAATCAAACATGCCAATTATATCCGATGAATGTGCCATGCCTTGTGATACGAATTTGGATCTTCTCCAGTACCGGAGAGTTCCATTTGGAGAGAGATAGAGAGGAGAAGATTTAGGGTGGGGTAGGTTGGTGAGTAAGATAGAGAAAAAGGTAGAGAGATATAAGAAGTAAAAAAGAAATGAAGGGGAAATAGAGAGAAATAAATGGAGAGGAGCTGCACCCTTGTGATAGCTCGTTTAGAACTATAGTCATATTGTGTTGACACTTGAATCTTGTTGGGTGTTTGGATATTATTGGATTTGATAGGTACTGCAGCAGACAGCTCAAAGGGGTCACTCCACATAAGTCAAAATGGCCATATTATTGGTTAGGAGAGATTCAAAACAAGGGGTAACAAAGTGGGAGTAAACATGAGGTGCAAGTCAATAATAAAGTGGAAGGAAGACCTTGGTAGGACTAATACCTCCAACAGTAGGGAGCAATTTGTTTTTCACTAGTGTAGGTGGGAGTTTTAGGTTTATGGTTGTTTCTTTTGGGTAAAAATGAGAAGATAAGTTTAATGAACCGGACATGAGGGGAAATTTAAAGAGGTCTTAGCTCAATACGTTGTCCTAAGGTAGAGTATCTAAAAACACACATTGATAAATGTGTGTTAAGACATTGATATTAAAGAATGAAGTCAAGGAAATCAGAGACACGGTCAAACGGTTGACACATTGATAAATATGTGGCTTTTTTTTTAATGTGTAAATATGTGGCTCTTAAAACCAAATTTGACATGAAGAATGATTGTTAAGATTAAGAGTATGAAGCTAATTCATAAGAAATCTTTTCCAAAAGGAAGGTATAATGGAAGAGAGACATACCATTTCTGAACAATATACAAGATGTTGTTATTCAACAATCACATTGGAATTGTTTTAGACTTAAGGGAAGGAGTAGTAAATTAGTAAGACGAGAGATCATATAAGAAAATCTTCATCACTTTCAGAAAAATATCGGAACAATTGGTCAATTAAAATACTTTTCAAAAATATTTATGTTGAGAAAAATAAGAGCATGAAGCTTATTGATAAAATAGACTATATTCAAACCAATTAGAAAAAGGGATGAAGAGATGATTGAGGACGACATACTCGTCTCAACTTCCTAATACTTTGATAAAATGTTACCATTCTGCCATTATTGAGTTTAGTCGTGTGCAAGGAATAATAAAATGAGAGATTTCATATACAGATGTTTATTTTGGACTGAAATTTGCTGGTCTCTAATCAGGTCTAGTCTGTTTAAGTTTGGTTTGGTCTGATATGGTCTAAATTGGTCTGTTCTAGTTTGGTAAATGTCTGATCTCTGTGTATTTTATAATTGTTCAATTTGGTATGCTCTGTTCTGATATATTTAGGTTTGATCTGGTCTGATCTGCTTAGCTGTGATCTGATTTGGTCTGGTCCAAGACTGAAAACAGCCCAAAAGAAATCATCCTAAGAAGAGATATTTTACTTACCACTCCATAATACTTATGTGTATACAGGGGCAAATTTAGGGGAGGGCCAACTTATGCCATGATCCACCCCAAACTTAAAAAATTCTAAAATTTTAAGGTGAAAATCTCGTGTAGTTTTTTTCAAAAAAATGTTTGTATCGGCTTAGTTCGTCCAGTGCCGTAACTCTGCCCTGTATGTATATATTTCTCTCATGACACATGTGAACCATGTATGTTATATTATTGTAGGCTAAAGGGTCAAATAGGTACATGAACTAACTTAAAGTGTTCAATTAGTCCCTTATAAAGAGCTTCTATGTTTCGAAGAAGCATCACCGGTGTACCTACTTTTAAAGTCAACTCATGATTAGGTACACCTGACACTCGGATTTTATTCAGAAACTAGATTTTCACCCGTGCTTCGCACGGGATGCAGTTACTAAGCAATATATTTGGAATATATAGAAATATTGTGATGGAGATAGATCAATGCATATATTGTTTTCAACAAAAGTAATGAAGATAAAAATTATAGATTATTATATACTTCCTTATAAACATCTTTTAAAGTCTTGGTTGCCGGTTTTCAGTCATCATCACATATAATAAACTTCAACTTAGACATGGACATTACTATTGAGACAACGACATAAAGTTATTCATGTGGTGAAAACTGGATGACATATGAACACATCAATTCTCTCCAAAGACCGTTCCTGGTCCTTATTAATGATCATCATGTAAATAAGTATCAAAAGGAATGGTCTACTCTATATGTGAATGGTAGCTTTAGGTTAGATGGAGTCAATCTAAGATTTAGAATAATAAACTTTTGTCTTGCATTTGTTCCAAGCATCATCTGAGCGTCGAGAATATGGGTTCCGAATTTAGTGACGATAATGCGAGTGTCATTACACAATTCAGAAGAATGATTGATATTCCTCATTAGCAGCATAACTGCACCCACTTTAAGTTTCAGCTCGTGTCTTGGCACACCAGAACATTTAGTGCTATTGAGAAATTCTAGAGAATGGATCTCTTGGAGGAGTGCATTTTTTTAGTTAGAAGAAGATACAGAGTCTGAACTTAAGTATGTCTTTATCTCACCAGGAGTCAACCCCAACATGTAAGGAGTCAACCCTAACATGTAATAGTTGACCTTGTCGTGTTCATCAATGGTGGGCGCTAAAATTGCCTGGAATTCAAATAAGAAATGTCATTATAGTATATTTCAAAATCGAGACAGGTGATCTTAACAATAGTTTCAATAGAATCATCTACCATATGAGCCATAATTTCTTCAGGGATGTCAACCATTGATCCTCCATTATTTTTTTATTTCTATTTTCGATTTAAAAAAGCTGAATATTATTACCAACAAATGCTATTCTAAATAGTAGTGAATAAATATGAAAAACAATTAGTAATATGCTATCACTTCAAAACAAAGTACCATAGTATAATTAGGATATTTTTCATTGGACTGTAGTGTTCTAGTGTGATCTAATTGATTTGTTTAAAAACATAATTAAAGAATAGAATAATTTCCGATTTGCATGTGTTTTTTTATTTTTTATTTAAAAAAATAATAGAACATTTAGCACAATTACATAGAATGTATTTTAAAATAATAAATAAAGCAAACAAACTTAGAATTTTTTTTTTAATGTGAAAAATTAATTTTGAGCTACCACTTACACAATTGATGGTACTTATGTTCTACCCTATCAATGTTTCATTTTTATTTCATTTACCGTAGTGCCGCAAAGGCTCCCACCTACGGTGGGGTAAGGGGGGCAGATGTACGCAGTCTTACCCCTGTACTAAAGCATAGAGAGACTGTTTCCGGATGACCCATAGTGAAAATCGCGTCCAAAATTGCATGGACTGACTGCTGCTTCATAACAAAGAAGCGCAGACAATTTAGTGAGCCATTTTGCTTTATTCCATCATATTATCGAGCCAAAAAATAATGAATCTTTGGCTCCATTGCAAATGATGGAAAAACGCTATCAACGTTTTGATAATTTTTGATAGAATTATATGAAAGTTAAGGTAGAATTCGTAAGTTAAAAGTATATTTCAACGAAAATTATATTCTAACAGTTAAAATTAAAATAATTTTTGATAGCTATATGAACGTACATTGCGCTCTGAAATTTTCTATCCTGATCTAATATATTTGTTTAGGTCTCCCTTGGTCTGACATGAGACTAAAATTAATCCAACCAATAACTTCCTAAATGGAAGAGTGTGATTTTGATGAGAAGTTAAAAGTATAATTAAACAAAAATTATATTTTAAAACTACAATTAAAACTAAAATAATTTTCGATAGCTATATGAATGTGTGTTGCTCTATAAAATTTTCTGCCCTAATCTATTTGTTTAGGTCTGTTCTGATCTGCATTGATCTGCCTTGATCGGATATGAGACTAAAATCAATCAAACCAATAACATCCTAAATGGAAGAATGTGGAACAGATTTTAATTGTAAAATATCTTATACTACGTCGCTCTGATCCACTCAGCTCTTATTCATCTACTGAACAAAAGATAATGAATTGGTTACCATTTACCAAACAAAGGGGTGCTTCTGTGCCTCTAACTTTCAGCTGAATTATACATGAATTGATGGATTGGGATCTTGATATCAAATTTCAATAATTAGATCTCCGGCGTTATATTATGTAGCTCTTATAAGTTATAATCGTATCCTTAAAATTTTAAAATAATAGTGAATATTCGGAAACACAGTAGATGAAAAATAGAAAAGCTATTTTCCAAGAAAGCTACATAATATAACGCCGGAGACATGTAGTTTATTTTATAATATTTTCACTTAAAAAGTGACTAATGAATCCTTTGTACTTACATCTACTCTCACATTTTTCATATTACCTCTACCTCATATGTCCAAGCAGTCTCTTCATCCTTCCTACTTTTTAATTTATATGATCTCCATTGTCAAGTGTAGAAGTTCCAAGTGTTTTTTCTTTATATTCATACTCCGTATTGTTTGAATAAATGTTACGGTAACCAATGAAATAGTGAAATTACATTACTCAGCAACTTCACCACCAAATGCAATGCAAAACAAAGCAATTGCTAACCTGAATAGTTCGCATACAATCAAGGAAAGTTTCTAGCAATGGAGATGGTTTTGAATGGCACAAAAAGTGCCCCACCTTTCAATGAGGTAAACCGTAGACGTGTATAACTACCAGTCTACCATAAGAGTACAACCATATTCTTCATTATCAAGGTTACACACCTCCCAAAGAACTTCCAAGCTACAAATTATAACATAGCTATCTATATGGTGTTGAAGATCCTAATATATTTCTAACTTCACCTACCTCACAGTGCATTTCCAAATACTACCCGAGAAGGTAACATTACATCTCCCATAACTTAAACCCTGCCAAGAAATGATTCTAAACCTAGGGAATTAGTTTTAATACTCCCTGCTTATTCAAATAATTGTTCTACTTTTCTTTTAATGAAATATCCCTTCTGGGCACAATCAAAATATTCATCAACGGGATGAACAAAATGAGATGGTAATATGAGAAGAACAAAACAGGGTGGAAATTGAACCTTCACTGGGAAACAACACTCAATCCAAAATAAAAAACTTTGTTCCAGCAGCGGCATTTATTTGCAAATTCCTCGGCTACAAAAGCAACAAAAAGCACGTTTCTATAATTATTATGTTTCATAAGAATGCAAAGACAGTAACAATAACAATAAACATTTTATATTTTCCGCTTGTGAGTCTCAGTAAACTACAAATGGTTTTAAAGAAGAGAAAATGTAATGTCAAAGTCTAGGATGTACCGTTATTTCCATCACCGGACTTTCCTGCTTTTCTGTATCTACGCCTTCAAAGCCTAAACATCGATCCATATGAGTTATATGAGTGTTTAAGGGCATACCATTAGCCTGATAATGCTTCATTTCAGTAAATAAACAAATATGAAAACTCAGAAAGGAATAAATAGGAATAAAGCAACACACACAGAAAAATGAAAAATCCAGAAACATGAAAACATTGAAAACATGCATGAGTAATTTAATATACATTCACTTATTAAACCTTTAATAAAAAGAAAATTTAACATGATGAATCACCCTCATGTTTTAGTTAGCAACTTCTGGCATAATATAAGTAGGCCCATTAGAGTGAGTGATTTATAGATATGAGGTAG